TATATGTATGTGTGTATGAATATATGTATGTGTGTGTATATATGTATGTGTGTATGAATATATGTATGTATGTGTGTGTATGTATGTGTGTATGTATGCATGCGTGTATGAATATATGTATGTATGTGTGTATGAATATATGTATTAATGTGTATATGTATGTATGCATTAATGTATGTATGTATGCATGCATGCGTGTATGAATGTATTTAAGTATGTGTATGTATGTATGCGTGTATGAATATATGTATGAACGCATGCGTGCATGAATCTATGTGTGCTTGTGTATGTATGTATGCATGAATCTATGTATGCATGCATGTATGAATGTATGTATATATGTAAGAATGTTTGTATGTAGGTATGAATATATGTATGTACGTATGCATGCGTGTTTGAATGTATGTATGTATTTATGCATGTATGAATGCGTGTATGAATGTATGTATGTGTGTGTGTAAGTATGTATTTGTGTATGTATCCATGAATGTATGTATTTATGTTTGCGTGTGTGTATGTATGTATGTGTGTGTGTATGTATGAATGTACGTATGTATTTATGTATGCATGTGTGTGCGTGTATGTATGTGTTAATGTATCTATGTATGCATGCGTGTATGCATGTATGAATGCGTGTATGTATGCGTGTACGTATGTGTGTATGAATGCATATGTGTATGTATGTGTGTGTATGTATGTGTGTATGCTTGTATGAATTTATTTATGTGTGTATGAATGCATGTGGGTGTATATGTATGCATGCATGCATTTATGTATGTGTGTATATTTGTGCATGCATGTATGTGTTTATGTATGAATGTGTGTATGCGAGTGTGTGTGAATGTATGCATGTATGTGTATATATATATGTATGCATGTATGTATGTGTGTATGTATGCATGTGTATAAATGTATGCATTTATGTATGTATGTATATATCCGTGTATGTCTGTATGTGTGTGTGTGTATGTATGTATGCATGCGTGTATGAATGATTGTATTAATGTATGCGTGCATGTATGCATGCTGTATAAATGTATGTATGTGTGTGTATGTATGCATGTATGAAAGTATGTATGTATTTATGTGTGTATGTATACATGCATCTATGCATGTGTGTATGAATGTATGTATGCATGTATGAATGCATGTATGCGTGTACGTATGTGTGTATGAATGCATATGTGTATGTATGTGTGTGTATGTATGTGTGTATGCTTGTATGAATTTATTTATGTGTGTATGAATGCATGTGGGTGTATATGTATGCATGCATGCATTTATGTATGTGTGTATATTTGTGCATGCATGTATGTGTTTATGTATGAATGTGTGTATGCGAGTGTGTGTGAATGTATGCATGTATGTGTATATATATATGTATGCATGTATGTATGTGTGTATGTATGCATGTGTATAAATGTATGCATTTATGTATGTATGTATATATCCGTGTATGTCTGTATGTGTGTGTGTGTATGTATGTATGCATGCGTGTATGAATGATTGTATTAATGTATGCGTGCATGTATGCATGCTGTATAAATGTATGTATGTGTGTGTATGTATGCATGTATGAAAGTATGTATGTATTTATGTGTGTATGTATACATGCATCTATGCATGTGTGTATGAATGTATGTATGCATGTATGAATGCATGTATGCGTGTATGTGTGTGTGTATGTACAGTATGAATGTATATGAATGTATGTACGTACAAATGCATGCATGCATGTATATATGCTTGTCTATGTATATGTGCGCGCATGTATGTACGTGTGTGTAGACGTATAAGTATGCATGTGTGTATAAATGAATGCATGTGAATGTGTGTGTGTTCGTGCGTACTTAGACACAGGTGTGCATGCATACATATACATGTATTTGTGCATGTGTATGTATGTGAGTGTGTATATGTTTTTGGTATGTATGTGTGTCTATGCATGCATGTATGAATGTTGTCATTGTGTGTGTGTGTGAGTA